AGTCTTCGTAAGCTGAGCCACAATGGAAAGTTTGAACCACCACTGAGTTCCAGAGGTTCCATTCATAACACACGCACGGATAAAGAAGAAGTTGACGGTAGAGAAGTAGCATCCAATGGGGTAGCTGCCTCGTCCCCGGCTGATCTCGATATCGACGGCTGGCGGATTGAGTAAGCCCCAAGATCTCGTATGGCCATACACCGAGGAGGATGCTCAGTTCGGATGAAAACAGTGACGCAGGGAAGACTGAGCTGGTGGAGGAGGAGATGTGAGGCGTAGCATCCCCTGCCTGTCGATCATGCTGCCATGCTAGAGTGCCTCCCCAAGAAGATGCGGAAGTGGTGGCTCCCGAGTCGACTGCTGAGCTCAGTGGGAACGCTACAGAGCAGGGCGAAGCGAAGGAGGACGTCGTGGCGGGTTTCAGAAAGCGTAAAAGTAGGCTGTATCAGTTGGCATTCATTATATGTATGGTGCGCGAATGACCGCCAGTCATTTCTCATGCGAGATCAAGAGCTTTTCGTCTGCATGCAACTGCGTTGTAGCTTATCAGCTCCTCCTCCTCAGGTGAATGTCTGCAGATCGAAGTGCCCGAGTTATCCGATGAATCCTCTCGGAGCCTCGTGGAGGGGCTCTGTAGCGATAGTAGACAGAACATAGCCGAACCATCACTCAAACGAAATCGACCATTATCAGTGATACATACAACAGCAGCAAACGTCACTGCGCCACGAAATTCTCGCCTTTGCCAGACTGAGGAGCGAGAGATGATGAAAATTGCTCAGCACCACGCGGCGAGGGTGAGGGAGCGTTCGAGGACTGAGAGGTATAGACGGAAGACTCTTGTGGCTAAGGTGAGGATCGGCATCATCGGGGCTTGATGGTCCGAGGTGCCAGGCTGCTGATACTCCAATTACGGCCGGTATACTACCGTGTTCGACGACGAAGTTAACGATGCCTCAGGTGAGCTGAGAGGGGGACACCGTATGGTAGCGTATTGTAGGAACCGAAGCTGCACACGACAGCGCGGGCTGCTGGGAGTGGTCAGACTCCGAGAATGGAGACTCCAACGGATGGGGCCGACCAGGTTGACGGCTTGGCTGTTGCGGTAGGTCGTTCGGTCGCGATGAGTTGCGGGGAGTTGACGACCACTGACTCAGGCCGAGAGATTCTCCAGCCGCCTCCGTGAGGCTAGCAATCCGAGATGGACCGGAAAGCCCACGGTGAGTAGTTGGACTGTCGGTTATCATCCAGCTTAACAGGTTCCGATATCACCGCGGCTAGCTCATATGAGGAGCCGATCGAGACCAGCGGGAACTGTGAGTCATCGAGTCACTCGAGCTCGGTGTGACTCGTCTCCGTGGCAGGCCA